GTTATTGCTAACATTAAGGAATATCTTATGGAACTTGGTGGTATTTAGTTATCTATCATAAAAAAAATAAGTTTTTCTTACTCCAAATAATCTTTATTTAAAATTCTTACATTTAAAAGATAGATAAATAATATAATTAATGAATATGTATTATTATCCGGAAAACTTAGAGATAAGAAAATGAAAATTTTAATTATTGTTATATTTTTTTTTATTCATTAACGTATAACAATGAGAACGAAAAAATATAATAATACATGGTAAAGAGTATCTACATTACCTACCTACACATTGGTACATATATATGTTTACCAATACCTTTGTGTGCATTACTTTCTCTGTCTCTGTCTTTCTTCGGTTACCTGTAGAGATGAGCAGAGTTCTAGTAGTCTGCTCATCTCTGATACCTATGCGTAGTTGTGCACGTGCGGAAAGTTCGTTGGCTCTTTATTAAAGGTGAGTTAATGTGGAGTTTGAGTAAAGACGGTTAGAAGACCTTGAAAAAACTTTGCATTATGCTCAAATATTTGTATTCTAAATGAATCCCATTCACAATAAAAGAATTTCTTAAAATAACAGAAAAACAATAGTCTTTCTATTATTAATTTACTATTTTCTGCACGAGCACAATACTAAAAAAAAAAATGAAAAAACCCTAACCGTATGAGTACAGTAGAGAGAGAGAGAGCAAGCATGACAGCAGACAATCAATAGCTCTCTTTATCCCACTCACGCTAACAGTCATTGCCAAAATGCTTTTTTTATTATTTTTCAACATCTTACGATTGTCGGAACAAAATTAAAAGTACTTTTTAATAGAAAATTTTTCTTTCAATATGCTGATACTTTTACTTTTTTTGTATCTTAAACCGTTACAAGATAAAAGCAAACTGAAATTTAAAACCAGATTCTACGCAAAGTCTACGCAAGGTTTTCGCTTGCTTGACAAAACTTACGCTATGCCGGTGGCAAGAGCAGTGCCTATATTAGAAATGCGACTTTTAACGTACATGACCATTTTGTCTCTCTCTTTATTTCTATTGCCTCCCCATGCCCAATTGTCTTTGCCCAATCACCCAACGAACGAGGAAATCAATTCACTGCGTTATCGACTGACTCATCTGGTACGCTACACTTCACTGGCCAGTCACCCACCAGTTCCAGTGACAACTTGAATCTCAGCAGAAACTGTTGTCTCACCTCGCCCAGAGCCCCAAACCCAGTGTTCCAATTGCTAATAAATCTTACCAGCTGATCTGATATTTTTATTGATAACTCTCACTACCTCCAACTCCCCGTTGCTGTTCTCACCCACTTACTCCTATCGGTCAGTTATAAAAATTAGGTGCATGACATGGGGCCTACGCTTCAAGTTACGGGAGCCTAATATAAAGTTAAGTGAAGTAAGATATAAAGAGTAAAAACACTGAATGAAGTAGTATCAGTTAGAGTGTGCATCATTCTATGACCTTTGTTATTCAAAAGTTGATAAATGAACGATTGCGTATGATTGTATTAAAAGTGATATCTACTTTAAATCTTGTAGACTTACCACTGCTTCACAAATTTATAAGCTTTCTAAGACAGGAGCTTTCTTACCATCTGAGGTATTATTTTATTAATCATTTATAATTAAAATAACTACTAGTCTTCGATTTTAATTGTTTATCAATGATGTAATTTTTCAATATCACGAGCAGTTTCGATTTAAAACTTCGCTGTTTGATAGTACCATCTATCGCTCACTACGTAGCTTTTACTGGTTACTAAAAAACATAGCAAGTGGTAAAGTAGCTCATAGTGTGTAAGAAGGGCTACGCAACGACTCAAAAGCATTCACCCAGATAACCTGATCTTAAGCCTATGCTAAGTTCTTGGTCACTCGACAAAACTTACGCTTTTGTCTTTCTTACCTACTATTTCCTACCATTACCGATTCTCTTTGCCTAATCAGACTTTCCCTCAGTGTTCTTTAACAGCCCACCCCTATTGGCTGGTTTTTAACAAGATTAATATGCTGATGCCGTTGCCACAGAGTCAAATGAAGTGGTAGAAACATGTCAGTTATGTTGAATCTGTCGACCATTCTCATAGTACATCCTTATTCTCTTAGAACAACGCAGAAAATTACTTACTTTAAAAAGTTCTTTCTATAACTGAATATGAAGTTGGCTTAAAAGATTTTTTCTAAAAAAAATTTTTTCTTACTTTTATTTTTTTTTATTTTGTTCACTTTTAAGGCAAGCTTACGATTGAAAATAAGATTTGTCTCATTCACCAGAATATAGTAAGTTTTTTTTCAAACAAATGTTCATTAGTAACTTTAGGAAAGTATACTTAGTTGTTTGTTCATGTTCTACTTATAAGTTTGTTATAGAAATGAAGGTGAATGACATAAGGTAATAAAATATCGGAAAATCATAGCATAATTTTTTTTTACCTGTAAGGAATGTCCGTAAGATTTGATTGGCTGTGAGAGTGTGACACTTGAGGAGGCAAAGCTGCTGCATCTCTAACGCCACACAAGACCAATTCATGGGCTGAGCCAGATAAACTACGTTCACTGCCCCTGCGTCTACCTAAAGTTCCAAGGCCTCCAGAATGTCCATGCTGCTGTTGTTGCAGACTACATACAGATAATGGTGCACCTACTGGTGCTTTCTTTTTTCCCTGACCACCAAAGTTGAAAAATCTGTATGGAGCAAAAAGAGACATTTTAAACGTTAGATAATCGACGTTTATAAATAATTGAAGATACTGTACTAAAATTTTTTATTTCGTACTGTTAAGGAATTTTTGTATTTTTGATTTCTAATCTGCATATTTCCTACATAATATTTCCAGAATATTAGTTGCCATATAATTAATTATAGTGTTGTAAAACACAAGCTCTGAGTTGATACTTCAATAAATATTCTTAAAACATTGTTCCTAGTGTAATACTATAGAACTTTACGTGTAGAGAATTTCACGATACTGCATTTACAATATTTTCGTGTTAATAGTTAAATTTGCCATTTTGTAAGAGTAGAACTTAGATTTAGCTTTTAATTTAAACGTAGTAAAAAAAGTTTTTTGTTTAATTATTATTTACAATGTAATTAGCCTTTATTAGACAAGTTTTAAGTTAAAGGTACTCTGTGGTTGTAGGGTCACTTACGTTAAACAATCTCAGAAAGGTATAACTTCACGCTTGTAATATTCAGTGAAAGTCTATAGTACAATGGTACATATTTATAAATTTAATGATAACACAGCTCCACAAAAAAAATCAAAAGTCTTAGTGCAGAGACCTGACATACCCTCCTGTATGTAATCGACCACGCTGAATTAGAATCCGAGGTCAATTTTACTCTATTACGTCAGGATTCTTCATAACCTCAAAATTTAAGCCCAAAAACCTCATAACACTCAAACCATTTAATGCCCGAGTATCTTAACCCAAGTAACGCTATAACCTTATAATTCGATCATCCCTAAACTCCAGTAACCCCAAAACCCTAAAACCCAATGACCCCATAACCTCTTAACCAGATGAGTAACAGAGGTTTGAGTCTCTAGTGCTGAGATATCTAGGTCAATGTTGTGTTTCTCCACGTATAGTGAATCTCCTAATTCGCCAGGCCCCTTACCTACATAATTATTTTAAACAATAACTGTAGGACCCTATTCACTCATTACCAACTAACCCATTAACTCCAAAACGTAACCTCTAAGCCCGATCAGTAACAGAGTTTTGAGTCTTCAGTGCTGAGATGTCTAAGTCATTGTTGTGTTTCTTGACGTATAGCGAATCTCCCAACTCGTCAGGCCATTTAACTACATAATTGCATAAAACAATAACTGTAGGATCCAATTCACTTATAACACTATAGTTAAACAACCTAAAATCCCAAAGAGTAATAAGCGCGTACGACACTGAGTACAGGAATATAAGTTTGATGGACTGTTTGACAGTATCAATCTTATTGTCATCATCATGTTTGTGGACGTTACAAGTTTTTTTTGTTGCATTGCGTCTCGTAGCTTTATACTATGTAAAAGCCGAAGTACCCACTGTTACAGAGCTGCAGTCGATGGATGACGACGCCTGCAGGACTGCTTTCTCACCCTGACCAGCCGCCGATACTGAGGATCCGACCCTCTGCATCGTAAATTTTTTTTTTTGTGTTTGCCATGACGGCATGAATGCCGTTATCCAGGGTCTCTGCTGGATCACGGAGAAACTCCGTTGCCCACCGTCAACCACGTGGAGGTGCCCTGGATTGCGAACACAAAAAAGAAAATTTTTTTTTCAGTAATACAAAAGATCCGTCTAACTCCTAATTTATGGCGTTATGGAGGCATAGGGCTATAGAATTTATTAAGTAAAGGGGTTTCAGAGTTATTGATTCTTAAGCTCTAATGACAGTGTGGTTTGGCGATATAATAGTTTGAAACCTCATTTTCTCTTCTAGAAAGTGCATAAGCCTCTTTTTCTCCAGTTTTGAAGGGTTTGAGGGTTATAAGGTTGTAGGGTAACAGAGATACTGGGTTATATAGGGTTATGGGGATGTACAGTTCATATTTTAATGAGTAATAAGGTTACGGTGGCTGACGACTTAAGGATTTGGGAGTTATGGGGCTAATTTTTCTGGTTTTTAGGGTTTTATGGTAATCACGTTTTAGGGTTAATAGGCTAGTTAGTTATAAGGTAATACGATTATACAGTTAATGTTTTAAGCAATTATGTAGTAAAGGGGCCTGACGAATCAGGAGATTTGCTATACGTGGAGAAACACAATATTAACCTATACATCTCAGCACTAGAGACTCAAACCTCTGTTACTCATCTGGTTTAGAGGTAATGGCGTCATTGGGTTTTAGGGTTTTGGGGTTAATGGAGTTTAGGGATGATTGAATTATGAGGTTATAGCGTTACTTGGGTTAAGATACTCGGGCATTAAATGGTTTATGTGTTATGGGGTTTTTGGGCTTACATTTTGAGGTTATGAAAAATCCTGACGTGATAGAGTAAAATTGACCTCGGATTCGAATTCAGCGTGGTTGATTACATATAGGTGGGTATGTCAGGTCTCTGCACTAAGACTTTCGATTTTTTTTATGGAGCTGTGTAATTAACTATAGACAGACATAAATAATTAGGAAAGGCTTCTTTGTTAACAGTTTCCTTTTTTGAAACTGAGACTAGTACTACAAAAATCATTAATACTATTTAAATAACATTCAAAATAGAAAAAAAAGCATAACTAGAAGACGCTCACAAGGTTACCAACGGATATAATAATAGTTATTTTTTTTTTAGTTCGTGTAAAGACATGAACAGACATATGGAACAACACAATAAGTTAACGAGAGAGAATTTAGAAGTGTATTAGATTAACAAATATGGGTCTGTTGCGAGCACGATACCCCCAAAAAGTTGCTAAGAAATAGCAGTAAATAACCGTTATAGTTTTAGTAATTAATTTAAATAGTTACTTACATTTTCAAGGTCGCGAAACACAAATTCAATGTTACAAAAATTTTAAGAAACATTTTTCATGCTTCCTTACATATAATTTTCGGCTACTCAGAAAGTGAAAAAAATTTTTTTTCTTAGTTTGATGCACTTTTTTTTTTAAGTTTGAATCTTAAAACAAAACCTTATTGGAAATTTTTCATTTTCAGTGTTCAATATCAGGTGTGCTGAGATATTTTCAAAAAAGTAAATTTACAAAGTCACAAGAATCTCATAAGTAATGATTGAGTACAAAAATATTATACATTACAAAGTTTTGTGTACAGTTTCAGATTTTTATCTTGAACCGTGCAGATCAATTCAGTGGCATAAAGAAGTTGTAATATCGGTGTATCCACATTAATTTTTTTTCCCCTTGCTTCAAAACTTTCCGTGCCGATTTTAGAATACTAAACGCAGGGGCCAATGTGCATCTAAAGAGAAGTGAATCACCTACAAGATTGCTCGTAGCTGAGGTACTACAACCATGCATGACTCACATACATGCCTGCTGGTTTATGCTGACTGGAAATGAAATCAAATGAAATACTTTTCAAAGCGTAAAATAATGAAATAACTTTCAAGAACTAACAGATGCAAAAGGTTAGCTAGGAACAGTTGTGCCGATAAATAAGAACTAAGACCAGTAGACTAAGATAGAGTTAATGTATAGCTTATAAACCTAATTTTTGTAATCCGCACAAATGTTGCTACTTTTTAATATGTAAAGGAAAGCGGGAAAGTTGAGCCAACAGTCAAAAATAACTCAATCCTCAAAAATATCAAAGTCCTCAGGGCACCACGTGCCGACATCCTCTCCAAAGAGTAAGCAAAAGGGGAAATGAGAATTGATTCCACTACTAACATTTCAAAATATATTTGTAGATAACAATAAATTAAATTGATCGACAAGCTTAGTTAAGTTAAAAAACAATGGGTCACGATGAACACCTAATTTGTATTTGAACCACAACTACAGCTGCTTTGGAGATAAATGGTTGGGCCGCTGTTAAAAATTACTCGTTCTGACTATCAACTTGTTTAATTAATATATCTGGCAACTCTAGCAACTATTATAGTTATTAATGTGTGATAATTATCATTACTAACCCTAGTATTAATATAGCAACACAGTAAACGATTATTTAGTCAACACCTACATGAAATATTAGGCGATTTTCATCACTTTTGTTGCAATAAATTTGATTGAATAAAGGAACAATGCTTAGTCTGAGTAAATTCTAGCAATATGTTATCCTAAGGTTAACATTAAATTACATGGGAAAATCTGTTAAATCTTGATGTAAAAGAGAAAGGAAGGGTGCAAGTGAGTGAATCACCTTCCCCTCTCTTGACGCATGTAGAAAAGCTAGCCAGAGGTGAGAAGTGCCAATTTTGAGTGGCTAAACGAGAGCAACTCCAGCCAATTAGATCTTTGGCTATTGTCTTTTTTCCCAAAATTTTCGATGGCAAGCTTTCCTGCGTCGTTTTCCAGCCAGCGCATGGTCGAGGTCCACTACTCCTTATAAAAAGGCCCAGAGGCCCCGAGAAAAACACTCGACTCGACTTGGCTCGACAATAGCCCTTCAAAGTAGACTGAGTAGTAAGAGTCTGCCTCTGCTACAACCAAGTCTACTGCGAAGCAAGGCACAGTTACAGTTTAATTTCACCCTCGGACGGTTGACTAGGTAGCTAGAGTCAGCCTCTGCTATCTTACGGTCCTCCACGAGTGTGGTTTCAAATCTTCGATCTTGGAAACCACGCGTTAAACCAGAAATAAAAGTAAGTCAAATTGTAATACTAAAGTGAAAGTCTTTTTTTCCTTTCTTTCTCTCGGTTTCAAACGTGGATGTGTTTTTGTTACAGTTTAAAATTCGGTATCGGTAAATACCACGTTACGAGATTAAATAGATCAATTAGTTCTCACGTAAAGTCTAGGGCAATCACATTTACTCCGGATGGTACTAGTGGATCCTAGACCGGTTGCGAACTTAAACCATTTTACCCCCTTGCGTAACCTCTAGAGTGTAACTACTTTTGCTCGTTACGGTACTGGTAACCTCTATATCACGAACGGGATACGGTTAGACACATCACACCAGGTATCCTCGATAAATTCGAGGCGTGCCGTGAACGAGTGCATCGCATTATTGCTCGACAACCGCGTCGATTTAATCAAAATGGTCGTCCTC